CCGCGACTTTGTTCCAGTTTTGAATTTTGGCCCACTGTGTATTTGAGTTTGACACCCCTGCAGTAGATGAAGCAAAAACATTTGAAATGAGGGTTATGCTTATATAAAGACTATAAACTTTTTTCTTCTAAATATAAAGAACAGTTTTGAGTTTCCACCTTTATGAATTACATTTACATTATACTTTTTTTGTTTTTATGCAAATACACTGTATATTGCATGGACTTTAAACCTTTTGTTTTCCTTCCTTTTGCACATGTCACACATAAATTTTAATATTAGAAAAAGATCATCAGAGTAAATAAAAAATAAGGTTTTTAAATGATGATTTCCTTTAAGTGAAATAAGCTCTTCAAACCTGCCCGTGTAGGGTTGGAGAGTGAAAAGTAATTTAGAAGTAAACCTAATAACAGGTTGTGCCAGCCTTGGTATCAAGATGTGTGCTTCCTTGAAGGAGTCTTTTCATTTCCTCAGTAATAAGAAAGTTTGGATGGTTCAGCTCAACATGTACAATAGTGATGAGTTTAAAAGTTTAAATTGAGTTACTTTAATGCAGGATGTTTTCTGTCTGAATGTGCTTTGCTTTAAATTTAAAAGAATATCTTTATAGGACGATGCTCTGCACCGTGTGCGCAGCGCAAAGAGCTGATCAGTCAGCTGCTTCCACTGAGGAACTAAAGATCTTGTTAACATAGTTTTGTTCTTAAGGAGGAAAATAGTTCTTCTGTTTATTCCTACATGTCATCTGTAAACCCATTTTTTATGTTTACTCTAATTTCAACTTATAAAAATATTATTGTTTAAACATTTAAGCTCTACTTCAGCCTGTTCTCTGTTGCTTTCCTTTCCCTTGTTTTGTATATTTGCCTCTTGTTTGTTGTCCTGCTGTCTCACTGTTTGTATTTTATTCCTGCACAGTTGGTGTGGAGCACCCACACTTTCATTGTACATGTACAGTGACAATAAATGTCTATTTTATTCTTTTTTATTATTCTATTTACTTATGTATACATACTTAATTAATTACTTATTTATTGACTTACTCATCTGCTTCTGTGTTTACTTATTTACACTTGTGTTTATGCTCGCACTGTCACATATCTCCTTGTGAAAGAAGTGGGGTCAGTAAGTAAATAAGTACATTTAAGCAGGTACTTAAGCACAGCTGTGAAGTACTTATACTTTACTTGATAGCATGATTCCTAATTGTAGGCCTTTACATTTATCGTATTGCTTTAGTTGCTTCACCGTTTGAATATATTTAAAGATCCATCCATCCATCCAT